GTAGATCAAATAGATAAAGAAATTTACCTGAACAGTGTACTCAATGGTGGAAAACTGGGGAATCAGTTCAGCAGGTTGATGTTGCTCACTGATACCAGCATATTGTGGAGGAAACTGTAGAAATAATAGAAAACACAGTCAAAATCACTACATTGGATTACTTTGTCTGGAAATAAAGGAATGACAGAGGAATGGAAAGGTAAGGATTTTCAGTGAAGGGTATTTTGTTATACAAGGAATGCTTCATAAATATAACTAATGCTTCTTAAAATGAACATTGCCTCATCATGTTTTCTTTTTGTTACATAATGGTAGAGGATTTTTAATCAGAAACTGTCCTGTGTTTTTAGTTTTTTCTTGAAAATATTCATAAATAAATTGCATGAAATAAAGTACAGAAAATTTAAAGGCAATTCATTGAAACAAGATAAGAGGGCAGCTGCTTACAAATATGTCTTCAACTAGTTCTCTACTTAATAATTAATATTCTTGTAATTTAATTTGCATGGTGACATCTTAAAATCATTATTCTAAATTAAAATCACTATACTAAATTAAAATCACTATACTAAATTAAAATCACTATACTAAATTAGCTTGTATAGGCCGGTACACCACAAAAGTATTTGTAATATTGCAAGTTCCAGTCTGTTAACCCAGGCCTTCATGAGTGCAACTACTCATAATTTTTAATATTGCAACATTGAAAAGGCACTTATAGGGTCTAACCACAAGCTAATTTAATTATGTACTAATCCTCTATCTGCTGTAGCTTTAGGTTTAAACATTGATCAACTCAAGAAGGATGAGAAACAATGCCAGATATCAGTTTCAGCAACAAATGCATTTGGTTTCATTTCCAGTTAATTAAAAATGGAATCAATTAAGGCCCATTTAGGTGCACTATGTGATTTTTCATGTACCAATAGAAATTTTACTGTGTGTGATACATGTAGTATACAAATATCATATATACATATTTCAAATTTTGCTAACAGTGAAATAAGCAAAAATATTGCATAGTTACTTGGAATGACAAATGCATTATTCCAAAAAACTCACCGCATTTCTTTGAAAACAAAAATTGCAATGCCAGAGTTTAGCTCTGTAGTCCACTTGGCTATTAAATAAAGAGTAAATTGACACAATTAATCAGGAAGAATAGTCAAATACCAAACTTATGAACAGGAGTGTTGTAATATATGAAAAGATATTGCAATCAATGCATTGTTTCAGAAACAGTCATTCACATCGGACTGATATTAAAAAAACATTTATTGATATCGCAAAATACTGCAACAGCCCCATATATAAATTACAATATTATGGCAATCATGTCTGTGTACATAGCCATGATTTCTGCAGTCAAGTTACGTACTGAAAATACATGCATCTATAATTTTAAGATTATGAGAAAATAGAAAACTTAGATCCACTACATACTATGTGCTTGATAACTCACCAGAAAGGATTCAGAATTGCTTTGCAACTGTTACGACTACAGACAACTGGATCATAACATATTGGAGGTAAATCTGGCCTTTCCTTCAATGGTGTGTACATACATCCTACTGGAACCACCTATAACGTAAGAAAAGGAAACTGACTAGTTCTGATCCAGGATGCACCAAGCACTAAGCTACAGAAACATGAGCAATTTCTAATGGGTAGAGGGTCTTAATTATGGATGGAATCTTTCAAACTCAAGCAAAGGCAATTACATTCAATTCCTGTTGGGAACAGATAGTTTACACATCCCTCTGACTGTTCCTGGCTTAAATTTGAAAAGTGTATGAATTCCACTTGCAATTGAGACCCTTTAATCGCTGAGAAATTACTGTATCCTGTGCCACAAAATCGTAATGGATTGACTCTCAGATACATTAACATTTAAAATCATTCTGGTGAAATATTTCATCATGGTAGCCTTTATTTTGGCAAAACCATCTTATCTTGAATTATGCACAGCCATTCTAATTACTTTCTTTTTGAGTAAACGTCTCATTACAATGCTCCTAGAATTAGAGCAAATCTGTAACCCAGAATGCACAAAGGAATGCACATAAGATACTAAATTATCTATACCACTATGCAAGTGAAGGAAATTGTAGTAATGCAAATCTCAGAAATTTATAGTATGGCATCTCAAACATGTTCCATGCTTTTGGAGTTCAAAGTTGTGGTCTTTTTAAATGGAAAATTTAAACAAAATGTTATTCTTCCAAATCATATACACGAATCTTTCTAATTTAAATGTATTTTCTACACAGAATTTATTCAAAGTTTAGCAGGTCCTTGTGTAGGATATATATATCATGAAACAACGTGTTTGACAAGACCAAATACAACATTTGATGTTTCCTACCATTCTAGTGGCTTCAAGCCTGCTTGAAGGCCAGACATTCCAACTGAATCGTACTCCATCTCTATCCTCATTCTGCTGGATAAATTCTTGGTACGTAGACATTTTTAAATCAGTTTTCTCAGTTTATTTCATATGAAAACAATGTTCTCTTGCTCTTACAAGTCAGCCACGTCGGTGTCAAGAACGGACATGCGCGAGACATTCGTAACTCGTCAAGAATTCCGAGCATATTCCGAATACTCCCGAGATCCTCCCAGCAGTCGAGGAAATGAAGTTCCCCAGAGGGTACTTACCACAGTGTGGTGGTACCTACCGGCTATCTTTAAAAGGGGGAACAGGGAATCGGGGAAATGGGGGAAGTAATGCAGTATATATACAACTAACCAGAAAGGACAGTCTTTGCAAACATATCTTTGGAATCTGGTCTATGAAAAAAACTTATGAAAGGCTCAGCTTATACCCATCTTCTGCCTGCACTATCTAGAGAGCAGCCTAGTCCCACGCACTTTAATTATGTAAGGGCAGCCCACGCTGAGAGACCTAGCACAAAATTTTGAGATTTCAAAAATTGTCCCTGATTTTGTCCCAAGAAAAAATTTTCTTGCCCCCATTTTGAATTAAGAATAAACAACATTTTGTGCTAGTCCTCTCCCGCGCGTTCAAACTGGTGACGTCACAAGAATGCAAGGCGCGCTAAGGAGGACTATGGACTAGTCTGAATCTCGAGCGGAATTCCAGATTGAGCCAACGGATGTTGATGCACCCTTGATGCACTTCGAGTGGAATGTCTCGTATATAAACAAGGTTTAATCCCCGCAAGTCCTAGAGCGCTCTTTAACCATCTTGACACCGTCAGAGCCGTGATGGGTGCATGAGGGGAAACCACTGTTAATTAGACGATCTGTGAAATTTCGCCGTCCTGACCCTTGAAGGAACGGACTATACGCAGAGTTTGGCATTAATTCTCTGGGTGTACTGGCACGGCCCAACCAACATCACATCGCGGAAATGATCATCTCTTATTACCATCATGTTTCGGGACATTCCGGTCGTGAGCATGTGTTATCCTTAGTACGACAGCGTTATTGGATCCTAAACGCCCGTGCGTTAACTAGTTGTTTCTATCAATGTACCTCGACATTTGGTAAGTTTGTACTAATGTATTAGTGTATTCAATTAATGTTAAAATGCGTAATTTGTAAAAGCGCCTATTAGTAATATGTTGTAATCTGTTGTCAGAATAAAACCACTATCAATCGAGTCACATTCAAGTCGAGAATACATTCCAATCTTTGCATCAAAGAGTACGGGCCGTGCCAGTACACTGGGTATGCAGGAAGAAAGATTTATTTTAATATCTGTAATATTACTAATATAGAATATTGTGATTCATTTTTAGATGGTAGTTCATTTGTAAAACTAAGTTAGTATTTATTTTATATATAACTTTGAGGGCGTGAAAGAATGTAGACCTACTAATACAAGTATAAACTCTATTACAACTGGTGACTATTTTAGCAATGAGGAATTGTGAAGAATGGTGAACTGTACAGCAATTCGAGTTTTTTAAACCAGCTAGCTTTTTAAATTGATGCATTAACCCTGCTAGCTAGGTGGTTTACTGACTTTTTAATCCTGGGTTAACTTCGGTCCAAAATGGATGAATAAGGAGCGGAAACACGTAATTGATTTATTTATCTTCGCTTCAATGCATTACATGATAATACTTAGCTTCACTCATTAATGAGGCCAAATCAGAGAGTGAGCGTTTCAGTCTTATTTGAGTTCACTGTGAAGCCTTTATCGTAGGTACGATCCAGGCCCCTGGCGCGGAAATTTCAAAAGTAAATCATAATTGCCGCCATTTTAGCTACGAAATTTTCGTGTGGAGGCCTGGATTATACCTACAAGAAAGGCTTCAGTGTCCGCCATCAAACTTCAAACTTTCAGCGGTTAGCGTTCCAGTCTTATTTGAGTTCACTGCATTTGTGACTAATTAATAGACTTACTTACTTACTTAGGCCTGTTGCTCCAAGAGGAGCATTAATTAATTAATAGACCTTTTCGGTAACTACGTCACAAGATTTTAAATGAAATGAAATGGATTTGAAACATCGTAATGGCAATATTTGTCCCGGATGCCATGGTATCAGGTATCTTAGCTGATCATTGTATTTCAAACCTCAAAATCTCGATTCTCCTGATTGGCAGTGGTACGAGGTTGCTCCTGAATCTAAAATCGATTGTTTTTAATTTGCTTGATTTTATTTCACATCGTTTATCATACAAAATGGCCTTTCACTCCGAAACTTTCCAAAATTCCATGCACGGAAATTGCAGTTCAATACATCGTTACTGCCCTCACGGCATATAATTTTTCGATTGACAATAAATTATTGCCTTATCGGTTGAAGTTTTGACGCTCGTTTATTTACCAATAGCGTTCTTATATCCAATTTAGTCCTTAAAATATATAATCCTAGGTTAAATATTTTAACCCTGGGTTAACTAACCTTACCACTAATAACCCTGCTGTGAACAACGCAGTTTTAACCGACGTTTAACTAACCTAGGGTTAAAGATTTAATCAGCTTTTGAACAACCGCCCCCCGGTGTTTACCACGATTTTTCAATTTCATTCGTCACCATTAACAAATGGATCTCTCAGTGCTTCGTGAGCGTAAGGTCTATCGTCAATTTTGTGATCAATAAGGCACGACACAAACCTTCTAGCTCTACCATGACCAAGTTTCCACAAATTGTTGGGTTTCCCGTGTAGAATATTTCTCATTCGATCTATGCTAGCTCCAAAAGGGTGTTTACCCTTAGTTAAGATAAAGAAAGCAATCATACCCGCCACCTGGACATCCGATTTCTTTTTAAAAGGACCCTTTTCATTTCTGTCGATTGCCTTAATTACTTCCGGTGGCATCCATCCGGGAGTTCCTTTAGCGAATGTAACAACTGTCGTTTTATCGTAATTTAGAACGCGGCTTATTCCAAGATCACCCAATTTCATGCGGCCTTCGATATCAACCAGGACATTTGATGGTTTTAGATCTCTGTGCAATATTCCTTTACCGTGAAGAAATTCAATTCCAGATAGAATCTCCCAAATCATTCGTGGACCATGCTCCTGTAGATAGTCAATACTGCATGCATGAACAAGTTCCCTCAAGGTTTCTTCGCAAAGATCAACAAAAAGATACATGAAGTCATTGTCACGATGAAAATATCGATATTTGACTATAAAAGGAGAGTTGTTTGTGTCAATAAGATTCATGATCTCCTTTTCGTTTTCAATTGTTTTGTCCTCACTTTGTACCAAAATTCTCTTAACTGCAACTTCACTTCCATCCTTCATGAGACCAACATAGACAGAAGAAAAACCACCACCGCCAATTTTGAATTGATTCTTTGCAACAAAAGCCTGTATCGGTATTTCAGTCTATGGGGAAAACACAAAATTGTCAATTGTACGAAACGTGTCGTATCCATCGAAAAACAAGCAAAAGTGCACTTTAAACGTTCAGTTTTGTAGGACTAAAGTTTGCGTAGCATCCTTATTGTTTTTTTGTGGTTCATGTGTGAACTTGTGTGTTTAAAAGATAACAATTAATCACAATTCATTGACTATTTTTGACACGTAAACAAACACATGAAATAGTTCATGATTCATACCACAACGCATATGGTAATATGCAGCCGGCCAAAGGCTGGACACAATATCTCAGATATTAAAATAATCGAATCATATATTTTGAAATATCTTCTAACTATTACCTTGCCTAACTCGTTGCAATTCATTGTTTTCAACATGTGAATCTTCTCACGATGTTTTACGGACGTTTTGAGGATATTAGTAATTTCTTCATGACCAAGGTGAGTACTCCATTCAAGAAGACTCAATTGCCTTCCTTCAACAAGAAATGTTCTCGCTCTCCACACAGCAATCTTCTTTTGCAACAAACGATTTACCAAAACAATTGAATTGTTTACAACAGCCATCTTGAGGATATCAATGCCAAGAGTATGAACGCTGGTTTTACTTTTCAGAGTTATGTCAGCGCCCTGTTCAACTAAATACTTGACAATTTCAAATCCACCACCAATGACAGCAACGTGCAAGACTGCCCATCCATCAGCAGAACTCTTTCCTTTTACTTCAACGCCCATTTCAACAAGATATTTTTCTATTTCTAACGTCCCTCTAGAAACAGCACTGTGCAATACAGTCCACCCGTTGTTGTTTTCGCTATTCATATCAGCACCCTTATCAACAAGATATTTCACCATTTCTAGCGTACCTTCAGCAACAGCACCGTGCAGCACTGTCCACCTGCTAGTATCCTTTGCATTTACATCACCACCTTTTCCCACAAGACATTTTACTATTTCCAGCGTACCTTTAGTAACAGCAGCGTGCAGCGCTGTCCAACCGTAAGCACTCTTTCCATTTACATTAGCGCCGTTTTCAAGGAGATATTTCACCATTTCCAGCGTACCATTCGTTACAGCATGATGAAGCACTGTCCAACCATGCACATTCGTTCCATTTACATCAGCGCCGTTTTCAACGAGATATTTCGCCATTTCTGGCATACCATTCGTAACAGCATTGTGAAGCACTGTCCAACCAGAAGCATTCTTACCATTAACATCAGCACCTTTTTCCACGAGATATTTTACTATTTCCAGCGTGCCTTTAGTAACAGCACTTTGAAGCACTGTACTCCCGTCAGTTTTCTCTCCATTTACATCAGCGCCGTTTTGAACAAGATATTCTACCATATCAAGCGTACTATTCGTAACAGCATTGTGAAGCACTGTGCAACCGGCAGTCTTCTTTCCATTCACTTCAGCTTTTTTTTCAACGAGATATTTTACGATTTCTTGGGTACCCTCTGAAACAGCGGCGTTCAGCACTGTCAAAGCGTTAATGCTTTCACCATTTACATCAGCGCCGTTTTCAACAAGATACTTTACAATTTCTAGCGTACCTCTAGTAACAGCGAAGTGCAACACTGTCCACCCGTATGCATTTTTACTATTTACATCGGCTCTGCTTTCAACAAGACATTTCACCATTTCCAGGTTACCATTCGTAACAGCAGCGTGCAGTATAGTCCAACAGTTAGTTTTATTACCATTTACATCAGCGCCTTTTTCAACCAGATATTTCACCATTTCTAGTGTACCTTCAGTAACAGCACAGTACAGCACTGACCATCTGTCATTATCGTTTCCATTTGCATCAGCGCCTTTTTCAACAAGATATTTCACCGTTCCCATTGTACCTTCAGAAACAGCACAGTGCAGTACTGTACAGCCGTTAGCATTCTTTCCATTCACATCAGCACCTTTTTCAACAAGGTATTCCACCATTTCTAGGGAACCGTTTGCAACAGCAGTGTGCAGCACTGTCCAGCCGGTAGTATTCTTGCCATTTACATCAGCGCCATTTTCTACAAGAAATTTTACCATTTCCAGCGCATTTCCAGTGGTAGGATTGTGCGGCACTCCCCCCCTGTTATCTTTCTTACCATTTACATCAGCGCCCTTTTCAACAATATATTTCACTATTTCTTGAGTACTTTTTGTACAAGCACAATGGAGCACTGTCGAACCATTAGAATTTTTGCCATTTACATCAGCCCCTCTTCTGACAAGGTATTCCACTATTTCTAGCGTACCTTTACTACAAGCACTGTGCAGCACTGTCCACCCGTCAGTATCCTTTTCATTTACACCAGCGCCTTTTTCAACAAGATATTTTACGATTTCAAACGTACCTTTAGTGACCGCAATGTGCAGCACTGTGCACCCGTCAGAATCCTTTCCATTTACATCGGCGCCTTCTTCAATAAGATATTTTACTATTTTCAGAGAACCTTCAGTAACAGCAGAGTGCAGCACTGTCCAACCATTAGCCATCTTGCTATTCACATCAGCTCCCTTTTCAACAAGATATTTAAGCATCTCTAGCGTACCTTTAGTAGTAATAGCGCTGTGTAGCACTGTCCACCCGCAAGCATTCTTGCTATTTACATCTGCGCCATTTTCAACAAGATATTTTGCCATTTCCAGTGTACTTTCCAAAACAGCATCGTGAAGCACTGTAGTCTCATCAATACTCTTCCCATTGACATCAGCGCCGTTTTCAACGAGATGTTTTGCAATTTCAGGCGAACCTTCAGTGACGGCGTAGTAGAGCACTGTCCACCCGTTATTTTCCTTACCATTTACATCTGCGCCGTTTTTAATAAGATACTTTATCATTTCTAACGACCCATTAGTAACTGCACTGTGAAGCACAGTCCACCCGTAAGTATCCTTCCCGTTTACATCAGCGCCGTTTTCAACAAGATGTTTCACAATTTCTAGCCTATCTTTATTAACAGCTGAGTGCAGCACTGTCCACCCGTCTGTAAACTTGGTATTCACATCAGCACCGTTTTCTACAAGATATCTAACCATCTCAAGGGTACTTTCTGTGACAGCATCGTGCAGAACTGTCCTCTCATCAACATTTTTTCCATTTACATCAGCGCCTGTTTCAACAAGATATTTTACGACGTCTAGCGCGTCTTCAGTAACAGCGTCGCGCAGCACAGTCCACCCGTCAGTATTCGGGCTATTTGGTTCATCAAAACCTGAATTTATGTCACTCTCCTTGACCTGGGGTGTAATAACATCATCACTTGCAAAAGCTGCCATTTTTGAGTAAAACGTCTACGCTGTTAAACAATTGTGATTTCGTGCAAAGCCACACTCTTTACTGCGCACCCTTAATTAAAAAGCAAAATTAGATCTAGTTTGTAATAACTGATTATTGACCGAGAGTGAAGTCTGTACTTTGAAATATCAGACCGAGGCTCTTTAGTATGGACCGAGGGACGAAGGGGCGAGGTTCATGGAAAAATCCTCGGTCTGATATTTCACAGTACAGATCGAACAAGCGAGGTCGATTATTATATTATGCTAGAAATAAATGCATGCAGCAACCCGTCGCTATTTCAAACCAAGTACACAATTTCCTGAGTTAACCTGACCTAATCTTATATTATGAAATGACACAAAACTCAAATCAGTCTTATTATATTTTATCGAGTATATTATAGCTAATGTTTCCATCATTCAATACAAAAATAATCATAAAGCGAGTGTAAACATTGCCCGTTCAATTTTGCCTCATTATACCATGCCAGCAATTAAGTAACGCTTTAAAATCGAAGTTTCAAACGATTAAAACAGTACAAAATCTTCACAAGACAAGAAAAAACTTCAAATGTAATCTTATTCTGTAATTGCAGTCGACGCCGGCGGCTAAAAGTTTTATACTTTATAAATATAGTCATAGGAACCCCAAAAAAATATTGTTGAAAGAAAAAGTAAATAGTCCAGTTTCGTTGCGAGTTCAGTGACGTCAGTGATCGCGAAGCATATAAATATATAGTTATATATTTATATGCGCTGCTTCGCGATTACTGACGTCACTGAACTCGCAACGTAACTGGACTATTTACTTTTTCTTTCAACAATATTTATTGGGGTTCCTATGATATAGTGTGTATTTTTGATACCAAAATTCAAATTACACTTTCATAAACAATTTTTGAAGTTAAAGCAAAGGTGTAATAGCCTTTCACAGGTTTAGGCGTTTGCATAAAAGGCTGAAAATTATACAAAGGTGAAAATTTAACAAATAAACGGCATACAAAGCTGAGAAGTATAAAAATACAGCTCATCCTTACGGCGAAACAAATACGAAATAAACAAAGTAAACCCGTACCCTTTAAAAAAATTTATAAGCTTGCAGATTATGAATTATTCCTTTTACACGGCTTTATCTTGCCTGTATCCATGTTCATCTTTGCTATCTATCTGTCATGCTTCATGTATCTTTTTTCTTCTCGCTGTATTTTCTTTGCACAAAGTTTATTTATGAAACGCTTTTACAAAAATGTTAAATTGCTGACGTTCTCATTGAAATACAAACTTTCTGTCTTAGCCAATCAGAACGTTCGTTGATTACCAGACGTTACTCGCGCATGCGCATAACATACAAAACCACTCAACGTCGACCGTCCATGACATAGAATCTGGACAACTTTGGGTTCGCCTATGTTCTACCGGGTTCCGGGTGTAATTCCTAATCTCCGAGCGGAATTAGTACCCTCGCAGGCGCTCCGCGCCCGCTCGGGGATCATTATTATATGGCTTTTAAGAATCCTCTATTCTGATTCGTTAACGAGCGGTCCGTAAAACCCATATCCGGACCGTAGTGTTATATGCCGTGATGGTCAGTAAATGACACGGATTCTTCTCGATTAAACGTGTAATTTTATAATATAAATACTCGCCATTTTGGCTTCGTTAACAGCCACCACCGAGCTGTAGGAGCCTGGTATTTAACCTAACGCTAACTATATCACATACACCAAATGGTACTAAATCCCATACATTACATCCCTCCTTTTCCAGAAAAAGTTTCTATCTCTTTTTGAGTTCATTTAAAGTTTTGTTCTCTTTTTTTTCAAAGTTTAAGATTGTCCTAAAAGTTCATCATTTCAAATGTACTTATTTATCATACAACATAACTAGAAATTACAATATCCTACTAACTAGAAGTAATTTCAATGTTCATAATCGTTTAAATAACTAGGTTTCTTTTTAATCCTTTCTGATCGTCTTAACGGAACGTTTTTCTTAGCGATACTCGCCTGTACTACTCCGATTGTCCCTCCCTCTTCTGGAATTCTTCTGTCTTCACCTGCTGTTCCTTGCTGCGTTGACACGAAATCTCGCACCTCTGTCTCAATGGTCGTTTGTTGAATATCGTTATTTCCTATACTGGTAGGTGACTCCACTTGTTCCGTATCAATTTCTGACTGACACTCTCCTTCAAAATCTTCTAGAAACTTTTTACAATGTGAGGTATTGCGTGAATATTGTACTCCATCTTTCGATTGGACTACCAAACTATTCCCATGTTTCCTCACCACTGTAAAAGGAACAGGATTGAATCGGGTTGAGAATTTATTCCTCCTCTCTTGCTGAACCAAGACTTTATCACCTGGACAAATATCGGAGTAACAAGCCCTTCGTTTGTCATCAGCATACTCTTTACTTTTATTCTTCTGCTCATGATCTCGATCTTCCAGATCAACGTACACATCCCGAAGTTCTGGCAAACGCGTTCGTATTTCCGGCCCAAACAACAACTCTGCAGGGCTCACTCCCGTAGTGGGATGGGGTAAACTACGATGAGAGGACAGATATACATTTATTTCTTTCCTCCAATCTTTCTTCTCTGCCTGTGCGATCTGGATTCTCTTCAACAGTGACCGATCTTGTCGTTCCACCTCGCCGTTTGCTTTGGGCCACTTCGCAGTAACTCTTCGGTGTCGAATTCTTTGATAATCCATATATGCTTTGAACTCAGAAGAGATAAATTGAGGTCCGTTATCTGATGTAATACTTTCTGGAAGACCACATCTACAAAAGATTTCTTCAAGACTCTCGATTATCTTATCAGTAACAGTTGATCTCATGATAACAACCTCGTAATAACGACTGTAATAATCGATAATAACCAATATTGATTCTCCTGTCGGCAAAGGTCCTAACAGGTAACAGCTAAAACTCTCCATGGGCAACTAGGAAGAGTAGTTGTTCTAATGGGTTCCACAAAATCAGGTCGACTAACCAATTGTCACCCATGGCACGCCTTACAATACTTCTCTGCATCCTTTTCCATTCCTGGCTACCAAACTTTACTTCGAAGCTTTTGTTTGGTTCCCACAATACAGAGATGCCCCTCGTGAGCCAAACTCAGCACCATAGGTCTCAATTTCCTCGGGATAACCACTCTAGTTCCCCTCAGTACCAGTTGACCAATTACACATAACTCATCACAACACGGAATGTATTGTTTGTAGGCCATTTTGTCCCATGAACTATCATTTATAGACTTTCTGACCGTCGCAAGTTCTTCGATATCCGCAGAGGCCTCTTCAACTTCTTGAGTTGTCATCACGCTAGCGTCGCCATCACTGTTACGAACCGCACATAACTTTCAACTTCTTCTTCATACTCGCTGAAGGTTTGACGGCCATTTATCAATCTTGATAGCGGATCAGCAATATTCTTTGATCCCGGGGCATATTTTACTTTAAATTGCTATGGTTGCATTCGCAGCACCCACCGCTCTATACGTGCACAAGGCTTCGATTTTGGCCCATAGATGACCTCTAACGGCTTGTGATCTGTGATCAATTCAAATTGAATCCCATATACATACTGGTGGAACTTCTCACAGGCCCATACCAGAGCCAAAGCCTCTTTCTCGGTCTGCGAATATCTCTTTTCGGTTTCAGTAAGGCTGCGACTTGCGTAGCTTACGACTCGTGAACCATCTTTCTGGGTCTGTGTCAACACCGCCCCTAATCCAACTGGACTTGCATCAGCAACTACTTGAGTTGGTGCATCTTTGTCAAAATAACCAAGTGTTGTGGAACTTGATAACAGATCCTTTAGATTTATTTTGCTTCGGCCCAAAACTAAATGGTACTCCCTTCTTTGTCAGACATCTTAAGGGTTCTGATACTTCCCCCACTTAAAATCAAGCTTACTAAAGATACTGCTTCCATTCATGCCTTGTGTAATCTCATCAACTGTGGGAATGGGATGCCTTTCACGCATAACAGCCTCGTTTGCTCTGCGCATATATCAACGCAAAGTCTTATCTCCCCGTTTGGTTTCGGAACTACAGTATTACCCATGATGTTGGACCTTCCACTGGTTCAATAATATCTAGATTTATTAGTTCATTAATCTTTTCTTCAACTTTGGGTCGCAAACTGAACGGAATCCTTCGAACTGGCTGGGCTACTGGCTTTACTGCTGAATTAATATGAAGTTGTACTGTCCGACCTTTCAACTTACTAACGGCTTTAACGACATTCTGTGGTTTTGACCTCACTGAAGCAATATCCATGCCCATCTTTAGAACTCCAAGTTTCATGGCTGTATCTTTACCAAGGAGTGACTCTCCTTTCCCAGAAATGACACAAATCTCTGCATCAGAGGTACGATGACCAACAGAAACTTTGCAATTAAATGTCCCAATTATCTCCAATGGTTCCTGTGAAGCATAGGTATAAAGTTTCTTTTCTGAACGAGTTGACGTACACACGACTCGGTTCTTTTTCAGCCATTCCCAAGTTTGCCTATCAACGATGTTAACACTGGCACCAGAGTCAATAATCATATACAATGGACATCCTCCAACTCTAACTTCAGCCTGGTATTTAACCTAAAGCTAACTATATCACATACACCAAATGGTACTAAATCCCATACATTACACGTAGTCCGTATATTTTGTATCTGGACCAGTATCCCGGATGTCTCATCCACCTCATGCAAATAATAAACTGATTATTGACCATGCTTGTTTGATTTGATATTTCACACGGACTTCACGCTCGGTCAATGATCAGTTTAAAATATTTCTAAAATGAGAATATTGAGCAAAATGAGTTCTTTTTCAGACTGTGTAAATTTTCCTTGCACAAGTTCTGACAGGGATCAGCAAAAAGTTTGGCATGTCCTGAATGCTTTATTTAAAATTTTTACGCCTGGCTCGAGATTGCTTTTTGCGATCTAAAAGGGTTTCATTGTACTACAGGCGTAGAACTCCTCTACGTTTTTTT